CGCGTCGAGTCGAGTCGAAATCAGTGTCGTCAGCCAGGATAGCAGAGACACTGGTGTGGGGGCTGAGTACAGACGACCACACGACGATACGACCTAGCGACAAACGAACCAATGCTTCGGCGGGGGGTCTGTCGGATTTGCTTTCCGCTACACGAAACAAACCAAACTCATATGCACTTCATCGTTCGTTTTTTCATGAACCCGCTCAAGGACCCACATGTATTCGGGAATGACTCGCAGAGAGGTAGAGCAAGTGGACGATGTGCACCCGCTTGACGATTCCGGGGAAGCTCCGGCCCACACTGATTTGCAACGCACATTATTTTCTCGAAATCCCGCACGTTGCGTATCGTAGATAATCATTAACTTCCCCAAGGAATTGGGTGGTGCCGCCACGTTCGTCTAGGAACGGCTAAAAGCGTCGTGCCATGTAGCTCTCCTCCCTCAAAATCTATTTCCTAGGGTACAATGGATTTGGGAGACGCAAAGGGGAGCTTTTGTAAACCGAAAGCTAGAATCGTGCAAACATATTAATCCATCACACTACAACGAGAAGTGTTTGTGCGATCTTAGCAAAAGTGTGATTTGGGGAAGTTTTTTTCTTCTTATCAGTCCGCCGGCGGAGGGTAGAAGAAACACAAAAAATAGAACATTGAGTCTATTGTCGAGGTTGCTTGGGAAACGCTGTGGTGCAGAATTAGTATTAAGTTTTCATGATGGGATTTTGTTTGGATTTTGGGAAGACAAGTCAAGCGTGCATGCCCCTCCCCGCCATTTGCGACCGACCGAGTGACCGACCGACCGACCGATCGACCGACCGACCGACCGACCGCGCGGCGGCTATCGCCCCGTACCCGCTCACCATCTGGACGCTGTTCTGCATGACGCTGGTGAGCTCCCTGTTGATGCCCTCCGATAATTGGACCATCTTCCTGCACTCGTTCCCGTCAGGCTTGGCGGTCCGAGACACCGCCATCGATCCCGCCGCCATCTCGTTCGCGAGGGCAACGACAACGTACTGCCGCTTGTAGCCCTCCTGGGTCTCAGACTTGGGAGAGGGAGGGACGGGGTATTCATGCGATTAGGGTTCATGCGTTTGATTTTTCCACTCCTTAGAGGAAGCGTGTGCGCACATGTCTTCTTTCGTTGGTTCAATACCCGCTACACTACTAAACACGCCTCTCGTCTCTCCTCCCGCAGATACTGAGGCGCTCACTGTGTGTGTTTTCCAATGTTTCACATGATAAGTTCTTGTTCGTTCCCGCCCCCCGTTCCTTACCACCAGGTACGGTTTTATTCCACCACTTGCATCCAACACGATCGATGTTTCACCGTGGTATGTCTACTGAACAAACGGGGGGGGGGATTGGCCCGCAGTTTTTTTGTTTGTTTGTTTCCCTCCCATCATTGGATTCTGTCGTCTGCCCCTCTGGCCCCTATCATCCGCTTCTACCAGCTAGACGACCCAACCGGGGTCACATAGGAGGGGGGGGTTGGACCCCCTCCTTCGGTTCCCGCCTGAGATATTTTTATCGCGAGGAGGGTACAGCAATCCCTTCCTTCGCGACTTATGAAGTCGATCAAGTTCACTAGCAACGAGCTTTGCAGCGCGTCGCTTCCAACGGAGACCAGGATTTAATTAGCGAGAAAAAACTCACTCTGTCGGGACTCGAACCCATGACCTGGCCCTTAGCAGGCTGCGAGGCTTCCCACTAGACCACCGGGGCGACCGGTGTGCAGTGTGCCTGCTTGGTTCGTCGTGTACATTTTATGCATTGCGCACAGTCGAAGCAACCGCTGACGGCACTTCGGTCACCTTAAAATATCCACACCCACATAGTTGCCCTCACCCGTTTGAAACTACGAGTCAGGGATGCCAAAAAATACACAGCCCCCCATTTTGCAGTACAGGCATGATGTGCAACGTGGTGGTGTCTGCAATAGCACAACGAGCGCACGTGCGAATTTTCATGAAAGGAAACGAGTTGGCACAGACAACTTCCTCGAGATGGGCTTTCTGCACGCGTTGTCCAGGACGATGTCTAAATTCAGCAGGTTCATCCACTCCCAAGTCAATGCCCTCTTCGCCACCTACTCTGCAAATAATTGCACCCAACTCCAACTCCACCTGCAACAGTCCTAGTAGAAGGCACAAGCAACAACTGCAGCAACGACTAATCAAGCATCGACAACAAGAACAACAACAACCGGCACCAAGCACGAAGTCAGCCAATCACCTCGAGTACGTCGTCCTCGTTTTCCAGCAGCACGTCCAGCGCCTTGAGGGCACGCCCGAGCCCTTCCGGCGATTCCTCCGCGTCCACGTACGACGTGTCCTTCAGGAAACGCTCCTTCAGCAGCCGGTGACAGACCTCGTGGCTGAGCGATGGCACCACAGCCGAATTCGCAGCTGCCGTAGCAACGGTGATGTCGGCCGCTTCGGTGGCCTTGTTGTTGTTGCCCCCCCCGACGACAACACCCTCTCTTCTCGAGCCGTGAGGCGAACAGGAGGAGGATCGCTTGAACGGGACGTTCCTCGCGAGGAGCGGCCACGTGAAAGTCGTCATACGAGATTCTAGTCCACGCGCTAAACACGAAACGAGACAAGGCCGTTCAAGAAACACCACACGACGAGAGAGACAAGGCCGTACGGAATAACAAAAAAACGAACAAAACACAGGATAGGCAGATAAGAGTAGCAGCGGTGGTGATATAAACGGTAGGGATGGAGAGGTGGATGGAACAGGAGGTGGCTTGTTTGTCGTTGGCCAGGACAAAAAAACGAGGGCAACGAAATTCCTTGACATGGCAGGCGGTAGGTAGATCGGTGACGTAGTCGGACACCAGCAGGCGAAGCGGGTGCCTAATCGAGGGCTTGAAGCCTTCGAGCCTAGAGCGAGTTTGGTCTTGTATTGTTGCTAACCAGAGCTACTGCTATGCTACGTCACTTCTGTAGCTATGTCGACCTGGACGTGTTGCCACATCCACGCCAGAACAACCTTCTAAAACACGAAACAACCTAGATCGGGTACGAAGCTCTACACGACTTCCTTGCAAGCGATCTTTACAGGCGTAAGGTCCGATTCCTGGCAGTCAACACAAAAAAAAAACACGACGACCTATCATCTTTTCTCCGTTGCTTCCTGCGAACCTATGAACACAGGTAATTAACAGCACTATTCTTCACACAAACAAGTCAGCGGGAAAAGTGCATACAAGCACTCAATCTACAAATTCGCTCACCGGAGGGGTCGCACAAGCCGGCCACCAGCGAGGAGAAGGCGTCTCCGTAGTCTCGAGCCGGCATGGCATCCACCACGGCCACCAGGGCTCGGCACGTCTCGGTCTCGCAGGACCCGTTCTGCTCGTACAAACAGCATCAATCGCGCCCCTTTCTCATTTCTCACTACTACTGTCTTATAGTAGTATTTTCGACGTTGTTTCGAATAAAAAACCTCGCTACGCATAATGGGAGCGGCAGCATACCATTATACTTTGATTTTTATTTGGCATACAAAGTGGCATGTTTGTCGTCAGTTGTCTTGTCTTGTCACTACCACCACTCCAGCACAACCAAACTCGAACAACATGGACCCCATGCGTGTTATTCTGCTGTATCCGAGAGGGGCTGTTCGGAAGCGAGCTACTCTTTGGCTTAGACTGTCGATAGCACGGTATGCTATGTTGCAGTGCATCTTGAATTTGGTTGCATGAATCGCCCAACAAAGTGTGGACATCACCGCGCGTCTGATCCAGCCATGGCCTAAGAAACGCCGGTGCACGTGATGCATACACGCAGCCTATTGTTGCAAATTGCACCACCGAGCGGAGCGGTACATGCAAGCACCGCATGGTGCGTGGTGAGTGAGTGATCGAGTGAGGGAGCGTGCCGTGCTGGAATTATAGTACGTGGAATCGTAACATGCGATTCTGAGACGAGAATAAATAGCAGAGAGATGACATGGCCAACGGGCAAAATCCGCTGTGTCAAACTAAATGCTGCTGTGGCGTCTGTCAACGCACTCGTGATCCGGACTTGTGTTGGTTCGTCTCGACTCGAATCGACTCACCACCTCTGCGTCTAGCGATGCGGCAGCGAGGTCCAGCATTAGTTCTCGGAGATCGGCAAGGCCCATATCGTGGGCACTTCGTTCGACCATCGCATGCGGTAAGGAGAACCACGGACAAGCACGCCGCAGGGACACACACGGCGGCACACACGAGGGGAAAACGCCATCATCACGCGGGGAGGGGGGGGAAACATGCCCAGGGGTACCGTGCGGTTGGGCAACAAAGAGCTATATCGGTTGGAGTGCCCTAGGAGGGGATAGACAAGGGAGCATGAGGATTTGACCTACTGCCCAACTTGATACTTAACGTGGCGGCAGCAGTAAACGCCTTTCACCCCGCCAACACTCCCCGGTGTGTGTGCGTCTTGAGCAACATCAAAACAAAACCCGCGGAAGAACGCTTGCCATGAAAGATCGTACCCTCGGAGAATCAGGCGCTCTTCTCGTCGATCCCGTTTCGGTAATCCTCGTGCCTAGAATCGAAACTCAACCTTACCGTGCGAAGCACAATCGACGAAACCTGCGCCAGTTGAATGTCGGCACAGGTTATGTTTTCTCCGTTCAATTCCCGAGCCAGAATTGCCGGAGAGAACTATCCGACCGAAAACGTTCCGAACAAATCAAGCTTCAGCGGTGGAACCAATCAGTTTGCTTTCCGCTGGCTCTCTTTCGATTGACCCCGCGTCATCATGTCTCAATGGCAGAAGACCACCCCAATAGCCTCTTTTTTATAGTTTTAGTTCTATTGCGTGATAGCAGTCGAACAAACAACAAACCTACGCCACAGATCTCGACAAAATTCCCTTGACAAGGACTCGCTTCGGAAGAACGGCCGCTATGACTGTAGAAACTCCCGCCTCGCGTGCAGGTTACTCTCACACATTCCATACGCCATATCAAGACGAAACTACAAGCGCTCACTGCAACCGCTCACCCTCTTCGCAAACACGCCACCACAATGTTCAACGCCGGCCCCAGGTTTCTTCTCAAGCACACGTTTTCCTCTCCCTCCTCCTCCTCCTCTTCCTCTTCCTCCTCTCCTTCATCAACCATAGCATCACCGCTGCTGCTAGCGGCGGGTAGCCACACCGCACCGCAAGCGCGCCAGACATCGAGGATGTCCTGGTAACGGATCCTCCACCCCTATGGGGGAGAGGGGCACGTGCAGCACGCGAAGGGGGTGGAGTAGATCACGTAAACGAAGCGCTGCTGTCAGACTATCTGCTCTTGCCCTTGAAAGCATCACTCAAGACAACACTGGCACACACGCGCACTGCTCCATGTTCTCCTCCCCCCGTTCGCGCGGACCAAAGAGATAAGGCACAGAGGAAAGGGGGAGCGCAGCGTCGAAGGACTGTTCGAACGACCAACAAACACTCCAACGACCGACCGACAACAAGCAAAAAATACGCCAGTTTATACTACTCACACCTTCAACCACCCCCCTCCCCACTGCATGGCGGCTTTGTAGGCGTGCGAGGTCAATGGCCTAACGACTACGGCATGCACGACTATGAGTACAACCCCCCCCCACTACNCACCATGTCATCCTCAGCCAAGAGCCGGAGCAGGGTTTCTTCTGCGGCCGCCACAACCGCGCACGCCTCGTGCCGGGTAACCAAGCGCAGCAGCCAGCGGAACACCTCCGGGGGCACGGTCTTTCCTTTTCCTTTCAGCTTCTTCCTCAGCCACGGCACGAGACCGGATCGAAGGAGTTCTTCCAGGTCCGCCGGATCGCTCTCTAATAGGAGACAGAACCGTGTGTGTGTGTGGGGGGGGTGGGGGAAGGTGTACTCATGGTGTGCATGTCATAGTTGTTAGATCATTGACCACGCGTCCTCGATGCAAAGGGGGTTTCGTGTATCATGTTGGTATATGTTTGTAGAAGGGCGATTCCCCTTGTGCTGTGCGTGGGCCCGCGCGCCCTCTCTACTCGTTACTAACAAGGCCCTTGGGCCAACCTTCCCTCGCGCCTCTGACGACGAGCACCCTCATCCCAACAGTGGGATGGAGGGGCTCAGCTTTTCAGGAACATTTCCGTCCAAGTGGTGGCATGGTGTGTTGTGTTGTCGTGCTGGCTTGGCTTGACGAGTGGGATTTCTAGTCGGGCGCGTCTCCCGCAAACACGAGGTGACGGTGATGCCATCGTGCACGCTTGCGGGGTCGTCGTGTGGCGTCGAGTAAGAGGTGGTACGCCTGTTGGTGCCTGGGACAGTCAACTTGCTCGACCCCGTGGTATGCTAGATGCCATCGATGGGCGAAGGCAAACGACATTGCCAGAGTAAAAACAGTGGCGCCAAAGAAAACCCTTTACGCAAGCAGTATATTACACGTGCAGCAGCAGCAGCAGCAGCAGCAGCAGCAGCAGCAGAGTACACCCCCCGTTTGTAGGAAGAGAGCCATACGTGCAGCAAACCCCATGTTTATACTTTTTATGTGTCAGCTCCCCGTTGGGCCGAGCTTGAACGTTCTCAAAAGTGCCGGTGCACTACACCGCGGCGTTGGAAAGGTCTCATCGACACCATGACGAACACGTATCATTGGGACATTCGCACCCTTACGGCAGTGGAGCATTCGAGAAATCAGCTTAAGGGGGGTTGATATACATGCACCATCGTCAAAGTCAAACATGACAGAACCCTCGTGGCAGTGCGGTGCAACACGACAAACGACAATCTCGGCGTCTGCACACACCTACCCACCTGCGAGTTTCACGGCCTCTGCCAGAACCGACAGCTCTCCCGCAGGCTGGGGGGGCTCGAACCTCAGATCTGGCGGCCCTTGTTCCTGACCCACCAAAGCGAAGCCAAGCAAGGCGAAGGTAAGGCGAAGGTAAGGCGAAGCAAAGCGGGAGCAAAGCGAAAAGGCGAAGCAAAGCGAAGCACAGCGAAGCAAACGAGCGAAGACCGCCGAGAGGGTGAAGCAATTCGCAACAAAGTGTAGGGTTCCTGCATGAGGGTTACAAAAACACGCACTGTCTGTGTTTGTGTGTTGGCATACCTAGCCTCCGTGGTGTGTGTCGTTGACTGTGTTGGTCATTCCGTGATGCTCCTTGTCCCCGGAGGCGCAACGGATGGACCAAAACGGTACCATACCATGGTATCTTACTTGCGCCCCACGCAACAAGATGGCTCATCGCTGCTTTTGTTTATGTGAATGGCCGATCAAACGCACACGTAGCCGGCGAGCGGGGTTGGATGCAAAAAGAAAAAACACACAACACGTTTTTTACTCAACCTGTTCGCTTTGTCGATGCTAGACAAAGGAAACGCATTGCTCAACACACATCTTGCGCGCGGTTCAAATTCCTTGCACGCCCTTCGCGAACAAACGCACACACAGTTCTTGTGGTTCGCTTAGGTGTACTTGGTGCGGTAGTTACTCTCGCGCACGTGATAAAAATAACAATTGGTTTGGGGCTCTCCGGTATGTTTCTTGTACGGTCGAATCGTCATTTGAAGTGGGTTCGACACAGTTTACCGGTGGCGAATGACACCGACAGCAGTCAGCACAAATAATGGTCGGGTACATGTGTCTGCGAGTCGATTGGGCCTACTGTTGGTGGGGTACCAAATTCGCAGCACTTGTAGGGGATCACCAACGTGACATGGCGTTGGCTCCTGCACAATACATGCGTACATAGGGCAAGCAGGAATCTATCGGTCACGCCCCTCACGAAAGCTCCCCCGAGTCGTCAGCCTTGACACACCTCGGGTTGTCGGAAAACTCGGATGACCCCCGGGATTCTGATGGACGTGTCCTCCATGATGGCCTTGTGGTCCGCCTTGTCCTTGGCCTCGAATGCGTCCGTCTGTTGAAAGCCCAGCGCATGATGAGTGGAAAAGAAAGCACGACAAAAAAAAAACACTGTTGATGAGAATGCCCTTAGAGGACCGCTGATCCCTTCCCTTCCAGGTGCATTTGGAGGCGCTCGCCAGAGGAGGATAGGCGTGGAGGGCCTCAGGGAGCTGCCATCGATTGCGACCCCGTCCTCCTCAGCCACGAGTGGGTGAAAGGGAGGGACTGCATGCTAGGCTGGGGTGCCGCACAGGACAAGATAGGGGTCCAGAAAAAAGGGAAAAAAAAGCCCGGAAAGGTATGCAGAATGCGCAAGGGCGAAGGAAGGCTGCTTCCCGCCGGGAATCAGACCAATCGAAAAGCGGTTGGAACGGTATGAACTCCATGTGGCACGCGGCGTTGTTCGTCAGCCTCTTTCGTTCCCGTATCCCAGGCGTTCGTCCTTTTGTTCACGTCACGGGGAAAACTACCGTTGTGAGCCTATTCTAGTGTAAGTGGATTGGCTGTCCTCTAAGGTTTGCACGCGTGACTGCTGTGCAGTGCTGTGCGACCGGGCGCCGCGCGGAAACGTGCTCTCAAGCCATACATATCTACATGAGATCAAGGAGGGGGGCGGGGGGGGACCCCTCATAACTGTCGGGTGCGTTCGGGCGTTTCAAGCGGCTGTCGCGCTCTCTGCCGTGCAGGCTGCAGGCCCAAAACGGCAACCAGCCGCGTATGCATGTCACACAACGAACGCCAGTCAAGCACCAAAGAGAGGGGGGCATCACCACATCACCATCCCTGCGACGCACAGCATCAGATAGTTCCCCGACAGCGGCACAACACACAACAACCAACGAGGCGATGCAAGGAGAGGCCACGCGACGTTACCTTTTAGTACTTGTGCACGTCTACGTTTCCATCCGGCGACCCCCGTCACACCCTGGGTATCTTTCTACAACACAGCAATGTGTATACTCAGAGTGGCAGCAGTGTCACCGGAGCCGAGCAAATCGTCCCGAAACTCGTCCCTCCTCAAGACCAACACGGCCCCAAAACGTATTTCCACAATTCAAGGACTCGTACACTGGACGACAACCTCACCCTTGCTTTCTGCTGTTCCGTCTTCAGCAAGTCCTTCTCGAGAATGTCTTCACCCAGGTTCATGATCTCGCTGATCTTCTCGGACCTCTCCGCGTTGAGCTGCCATGTCGAGAAATTAATCAACCAAGGTTCACGGTGCAGGCGCCAAAGAATCACAATGTGTTCAGAGAAGCGGTACATCATGAAAGAAAGCTTTGCTGTACCTAAGCACAATGTGCTTGGTGCCCCATGTCTCCTGCAGCAGTAACATCTTCACCTCTAACGTGGTTATAGATCGTTTCATCTTCAATGCGGTTTCAATTGTATCACTTGATGGTCTACAGTACCTTAAAGTTAGCTCGTTTTTGTGAACACCACGCTTCATTTTTGAAGATGGTTTATCCTCCCAAGATACCAACCTAACTAGTAGAGTGAGTACAGTCGAGGGACCCTTTTAGTGCCGGTACGTGCACAGAGCGTTCACCGGCACTAAATCGGGCACCCGGCACTATTGCGAATAGTGCCAAAACGGCACTATTGAGGGCTGGCCAATTCCTCATTAGTGCCGGTACCGGCACTAATGAGGTTGTGTTCGATTTATGGTGTAGCGCCCACGCTTACGGGGCCAACAAAGAACGAAATGGATCGACACTATTACTGTACTGTTGAGTGAAGTTCCAGCATGGGCGTGGGCAGAGTTGAGTTTTCTTTTTGTTGTCTTGGGGCGCTCTTTGGTTCTTCATTTTCTTCTGCACCTCACTTATTTGCTTATTTGTGTACTGTCGTCGGGACAAATTCTCTCCTGTTTGCCTGGCGCACCCGCTTCGATGTTGCAAGAAAAAAAAAACAAGCACGACAGGCAGCGCACCGCAAAAAATCAAACAACCGTTACCACAGCTGTAACCCCTGCCCTCACTACT